AAAAAATAATGCTTTCTTCTTTTAATTACTGTTGGCTTTCCTTAGGTTAAAAAAATTTATTTTATCTTTAGAAATGCTTTTAATGGAGTGTTTCGAAGTTTTTGGAGCGTTACATTACATACCTCCACGCATTTATCACCCTGACGCCTTGGCAAACATTACCACTGCATTGCACGAAACACAGCACTTCACCATATCGGCGACAGTCAGTGCGTAGGTCACGGGTGTCCAATGACCTTAACGGTCCGATTTTACTTTATTTTAATAATAAATAATTAAAAATGGATGAATTATATTTAGATTAAGACTAAATTTTGAAATCTGGAAGAATAAATCAAGTAAGTTTAAAAAAAGAAAGAGCTATTAATAAATATATATCAGATCCAATTAACATTGAGGAGTTAAAATTTTAAGAGCTAATTTTTTAAAAACTACTCGCGCGAGTTTTACAAAACTTGGCAGTTTGGCATAATTTGAGTCGTAGAATCGAAATACGAAACAAAATTGGCATCTCATTTCAGAAAAAGGTCCGGTTTTGTATAAAAATACCTATATTAGAACAATGCTATATATATAAATCTAATACATATCCTAAGTCGCGCTTTCGAGACAGGAAAAACGCAATTTGAATTTTGTCAATCGGCCCAGTAGAAAGGGAGATATAGAACTGCCCTCCCCTTTTTTTGCGCAGTGTACAATTGTTACAACAAGAAAGTAAAATAATAAATCAAGATTTGCAATTTAAAATGATAAAAAATATAATGTTCACCAGCTTTTACCAATGCCCGTGGTTCAACACAGAACATTTTGTAGAACCTTCTTTTAAGCCGATAAGGCCGATAAGGCCGATTGAAACCTCTTTAGCAGAAGAAGAAACATGGGTTACCTAAATGACTACAATAAAAAACCTTCCACTTATTATCGAAAATGACAAAAGAAAAATTGTATAAAACTTTTGCTGTTAGTGCAATGTTTCGGTTAGGGGTTTATGATTGTTGCAGGACTTTCTCATACTGGAAAATTGAATATAAGGAGAGAGGAAAGAAGTGTTAAAAGCAGCTCAATGTACTATCAAGAGAAAGTTTTATACATACCATATTTGTAGAAGAAATTCCATTCCTTTATCCCAATGATTTAGAAACCGGGGAATTTTATCAAGATAAAGGAACAAGTCATACTTCCAAAAGTACCACTTCATTCCTTGAAAAATATGAAGACTGATACAGTTATTGCATTTATACCTTTTCAGCGTATTCCTGCAAAGTACCTCGATGTCTCATTATAGATGACATTGGATTATCGCGCCTCTGGTCTTTTAAAAAGAGCTTTTTCTAAGCGGAAACCAACCAACCTTGATGGACTCTGGAAAGTAGTGGTAGAGGAACTGAAACCATTACTTCTGAAAATTTTACGGAAAGCCCTTCTAACACGAAAATCACAATACAGATAGATAACACGAATTTTTCTGGACTATAAGTATCACGATTTCCGTGATGTGGAAATCGCGAAGCTTATAGGCCAGAAAAAAAGTTATCAACTCGAATATTTAAAAAAATACTCCTTACATTTTAAATTTAAATAAACCTTTCTAAAAACGTGTAAATACTCTCTGTACGTTAAATAAAGTAAATGTTAACAGATAATAAAATAACTTGTTCTAATATTTAATGAAAGCGTTTAAACCCAAACGATTTTAATAAAACATTTTTATTAATTATAATAATGTCGTAAACAACATGGCAACACTGTACGGAATAAAATATTTTTATCTCCAGAGCACGAGATTGTCTGTCGGAAATTCTAGAGATTTGCTGTTTAAATATTTTGCAATTTTACAGTTTAATTGAATTTTGCAGTAAGTGCCGAAAACGTGATATTTAAAAAATAAAGTCAATACAGAAAACGTTAATATTAAAAAGATAAAAAAAAAAGTTGTGCAAGCCATCTTGCTATGAAAGCTGAACATTGATATGATGAACCCAGAAAAATATAAATAAAAAAACGTTATGCCAACACTTAACACTGCATTGGGAATTCTAAACATATTCTATTATACTGCTTTCAAAAATTTTGTAATTTTGCTGTTGAATCGTATATGGCGCAATTGCGAAGAAAATTATGCTTAATAATAAAGCTAGTAGGAGTGAATTCAATAGCGGGACTGTAGAGTACGAAAACCTTAACAAATAAAAACCTTAACAAATCCTTTTGAGAGATAACTAAAATCTGAACACTTTCAGATTTTTTTTCAGTCCTTTGTCAGTTCATCATATCAATATTCAGTCTTGGACCAGGGGTGGCAGAACACTTTGGCAGTAAATTTTAAAAAATTCCGTAGTGTTTTTTTTTTTTTTTTTTTTTTTTTTTTTTTTTTTTTTTTTTTTTGGGGGGGGGGAGTAGGGAGTAATTTATATCTTTACATAAAAATATAAATTAGTAACTTTTATTTTTTCTAGCACATTCTTTCTATATTTAGGAAATTTCGTTCTCTTTCGCAATATACATATTTAAAGGTATTGAAATTGAACCTTGTTTTGTCGGACAGAAAACTAAGCATTTTCTACTGGTCTTATTCTCTTCGTTTATAATTGTTGAATGGTTTTAGTAAAAAGAAACTAAAATTGAAGAAAAGCATCATACTGCTCTTTGTAAGTGTAAATGTAATGTTAAAATGTTTTTTATGCGATTCAAGAATAAGACAGTAAATAAAAAATATAGATTTGTGGATTTTCTTTATTTCTAATTCATGCATACACCTCTGAAAAGAAATACACTAAGTGAAACGTAAACGTAATAGCGAGCGCAGCGCAGAAATCGCTGTTCGAAAAAATTAAAATATGCTGACAGGAGTTTCAAAATTTTGCATAAAATTAATAATTTAGATTTTCCCATACAGTTAAAATGAGGGCTAACTTACTGAGATAAAACTTATAGCTAAATAATTGAATTAATTATTTAGATGCTAACTGAACATTTTGTTTCATTTATGGGACATCCGAATGCTCAAATCCTATGAATCTTGAAAAAAAGATTTGAATTCGTAGAACTCGAATATTAATGCTTTTGTAATCTTTCGAATCATTCTAATCCTAACCTAAAAAATTACTGAAAGTTATAGTTTTGGGAAAAATGAGTTCATCGACGCCCAGTAGAAAATTTCATTAATAGAATACGATTATTGCAATTTTTAGTGATAACTGGAATACTAATATCATCTTTGGTTACCTTTCGCCTATATTACTTTTCAGTATATCATTCGGCGAAATCTGCTAAAAATTCAAGTACAGTAGTATCCCCGTATCTGTGAGTAATAAGCTCCAAGATTTACCGTAGATACTAGAAGATTGCAAAATAGGATATTTATGGCATAATACCCAGTGGATTCAACAGAATAATAACATGCTTAATTCTGATTACATTTTATTGATGAATTATGCAAGTAAGACATATTACTAAAAAAGTGTAATGCAAATTGCATTGTACATTAAGATTGGCTGTCTTTACTTATGACAGCAAGGGATTCTGACGGTTGAATTTAATCGCAAAAAATGAGTGAGAAATGAGAAAATGCAGGTTTCACCCCGAGAAAGCATAATACATACTGTTCCAGAGAATGGCATAAGAACTATTCAGAATTCAGTTTTCTAACACACATAATAGGCTTGTATTTTCTTCCAATAAGAATACGTAATTATAGAAGTGGTAGTGCTAGTGCCATCCCTAGTGCTTCACTTATTGTGATAAACTAATGAGAAAAGAATGAATGTTAGAAGAAAGTTTTTAAATAAGAAATATGAGTAAGGAAACCAGATCAAATTAAATATTGTCTGTGCACCGACAACCGGGATAGTCTAGCAATATATTTATGACCCTAAAGTTAAGGAATGAGGTCAGAGTTCGAGGAGTTCTTGTAACTTGAGAATACTTACAGAATGAACATTTGCATTTCCATTTTGTTACAACGGCTGCGAGCAATCGAGCAAATGCTTTCGAAGGCAGTATTAACAGTGTATGGATGCGTAATTTGGCCTTTATTGCGGACTATTGTCACCGTCGCTGCATTTAAGACTCGAGGGTATTCCCCCTTTCTATAAGTTAAAAACCGTGGATACTGAATCAGCAGATATGGGATAATTATCCGATGTAAAGTTTATATATAGTAGTCCACAAACCTCAAGTTATGCTCGATTTTAATACTTCCCAGCATGGAATGCATCGTTCCTTTCCACCCCCTCCTCCCCCACAAAAGAGTTTGTTTACCCAACCCAATTTGAGGATCGAAATGTAAAAGCAGCATTCTACGAAGAATAAAAAATCAAAAGCAGCATTCTACGAAGAATAAAAAATCAAAAGCAGCATTCTACGAAGAATAAAAAATCAAAAGCAGCATTCTACGAAGAATAAAAAATCAAAAGCAGCATTCTACGAAGAATAAAAAATCAAAAGCAGCATTCTACGAAGAATAAAAAATCAAAAGCAGCATTCTACGAAGAATAAAAAATCAAAAGCAGCATTCTACGAAGAATAAAAAATCAAAAGCAGCATTCTACGAAGAATAAAAAATCAAAAGCAGCATTCTACGAAGAATAAAAAATCAAAAGCAGCATTCTACGAAGAATAAAAAATCAAAAGCAGCATTCTACGAAGAATAAAAAATCAACTTGTAGAGACATTTCAAAGCAGAAAAGCTGAAAAATGCCTTCGCCGGGCCTCTCCGAATACGAGCTACGAAGGCATGCTAAGAAGGCGGGAGAAATACCTTATAAACTGAGATACTGAATCGGGACTATCACAAAAGCAGAATCGATATTACGAGAAGAAATTCCTTAAATAAAATAAATCCGAGAGAAAAAAAAATTAAGTGTATTATTTTTTAAATATTCTTCGTATTCGTCTGATAAGATTCTGTAAATGTCTGTTGGTTTATTATTTCCGATTATTGATGAAGCTGCTGTAAAAAATCTAAGTAACATGAGCTGAAAATAAAAGCAAACGAAAAATGAAAGAAAAAAAGTATTTATTAGTCAAACCTTTGCAATAAAAATTTCACTTAAAGAAATAAAAAAAAGGAATCGCACATTTTCCTTCATTAGAGCTTCTTAGATGACGTTTAAAGTTTCTTCCTCTAGATATAGTAGGACATTCAAATACGACCCAGACTTTGGATTGTTCATGGGATGCAGTGGAAGCTCGAACTTGTCTGTCGCATGTGGTACATGTGAGAGTAATGAGTAGGAAGGTGCTCAGTCCCTGGAACAAAAGATTACCGTTAAGCTTTTAATAGGAGAAGGAATTTTAAGCTCCAAAATTTTGACTAGGCTTTGTAATCCTCATAAAGATCAATGTGTTCCACATGTAAGCGAGAAGGATGTGATCCGCGTTATAGTCCAGATTCAGCCCCGGGTTTCCCACTGTCATCACAAAGATAAGAAAGTAGATATGCACTAAATCCAACACTTTCTTTTGAAAGGGGATAAAACAATAACACATGGGCTGATGCATTAAAAAGAACAGGGAAATATTTCGAACGATGGCATGCCCTTCCAGTACAAGATGCAATAATTCAATTCCCAGGATGTAATTTAAAAAATATTTTAGGTGTAGAACTACACGTTAATGGCTACCGTTGCCTTCAAAATGCTCTCCGAAGTTATAGTTATGTTAAAATTTTAGAAAGCGTTCCCAATTCTAAAGCAAATGAGAAATTTATTTTCCAGTCAGCTGTTTTAATTGCACTGAGAAGCACAAATTTCACAGAAATCTTGCTTATGCCTAATCATTCAGCTGAAATTAGTTTAACTGTTTCTCGATTAATTTGCAATACTTCAATTATTAGTCTCTCTCTTAATTAGTTATTGTAACGTATCGTATCTTACACTGTCTTAATATCAGCATCCGTCATGCTTATTCGTGTTGCTTTCACTTTGGAGATCATCCATCACATCTTCTCGGTCATCTTTGAATCTCTTATATCATTCAAACACACTCTGCTTTTCAATGCATCTTCATTTTTCATTCTGCAGACCCTATGTGCCACTTTCTACAATTCTAATACTTCAGAAGTGCACTTTCTGATTTTCACATAATACTTTATGTTAATGCGCTGTTCTAAATTGTGACTACCATCGTTATACCGAAATGTACCCATAGATATCTGCAATAGACTTTCCAATAACTAAGACTTGCCTCTGTCAGTTCGAAATTTAATTATGAATTAGTTCATTCAGGTTTACACACGAATGTTCATGTAATTTTGAAAGATTTACTCTTGAGTGTTACTACTTCATTCTGGGTATTAAATTGCCTCACTTTATTTATAAACATTCCAGTTGCTGGGGTCATAGTTGAATGCTCTAGCTACTAAAAAATGGCAATCTAAAACGAAGAATATAACTTTCACAATATCTTTTGCGTTCTGCTTTAAACACAGTCATGTTTTTATATAATTAATTTTACACAATGTTTTTACTGGCCATCATACTTTTCAAAGGCCATAATATTATATGCATTTATATATGTGTGTATGTGTGTATATATATATATAAACTTCTTTATAGTTGGGAAGTTTAAAACTTCCATAAAAAGATATTAAACTTCCAATAGTTCGTGGACTGTTCAACATCTAAAGCACTAGATGTCGAGAAAACTGTCTTATTATATGGATGAGTCCATTCTAAAGGGAGGCCTCATTGTCCATTGGCAGCGGGAGTGGTCGTCGTTGCAGGGGTTGCGACGCTTGCTGCGGGTTTGGATTGCTTCCACTCCATAAATAAGAAGAAGGTACCGGCAGCGTACGCTAAAAAGTTAAATAGTCCAAAGCACTGCAATGAAAAAAAAATGAAAATAAAATGTTAGTAGAGGACTCTACCATGATCAAATAACTACTAACAATATTATTTAAAACACATATTTAATAAGAGATAAAATATTCACAAGATATACATAGCATTAATGGCATCTTATCATCTTACAGAAATTCGTGCATATTATTTGTTTCAACTAGAGTTCTTTTTCTATACGTTCAATTAACAGTTAAGTTGTAATAGTGTGAGAGCGAAATACTTAGAACATGAAGTTAAATATTTTAAGCCCGCCCCCCATATTAACACGATTTTGACAATATGCTTCTTAATACAAAACAATAAGTACACTAGAAATCCAGACATCGAATCTTGATATCTAAAAATGCACTTATCCTGACTCCAAATTCCTAAAACACCGACTACTCGGACTTCGGATATCCGATATTCCTATTATCTAGACTTAAAATATCCAGATATCGGGTATCCTGAATTTCAGTTATCAGGACCTCGAATATCTAGCTCTTCAGATTTCAAATATCCGGAACTGCAGTTACCTAGACGTTACATATCTGGAATTCCAATTAGAGGGACTTATACCTGGAACTTCAGTTATCCGGACTTGAAATACATAGAATTCGCGTTATGCCAGATATTCAGAATCCTAGTTATCCAGGCTTCAAATATCTGAAACTCCAGTTTTTGGACTTGGTTATCCAGAATATCCGGACTCCAAGCAACCCAAAGTCTACATTTTTTTTTTTTTTTTACTAGCTATATGAAAGATATTGGGAATTTCAGTTGCCCGAATTCCAATTACCCAGAATATCAATTAATCAGGTATTTAAATTGCTGATACCTGGTTAACTTATATTCTGTGTACCTAATTACAGGTTTCTAAATTCCTAAATTCCTTGTAGCTCTTTTAGCGCAAAATAATAGTTTTTTTTTTTTTTTTTTTTTTTTTTTTGTTAAGTTGTCAGCTAATTTATATTCTTATAATATTTTCTTTGATTTAAATAATACAAAATAAAAATGGAATAAAAATATTTTCTTTGATTTAAATAATAACAAATAAAAATGGAATAAAATATAGTTGACCTTCAAACTAAGGGGATCTGAACTGCACGATTTCGGTAATATACGGATTCATTTCTGTAAATTAATTTGAAAACAATTGAAAACTGAGATCAGTTTAAAAAACTAGTAACTACGCTGCAAATAAATGAGTAATTAAGTATAAAAGGTTACTATCTTTTATCCCACTTCAGAAACATAACAGGGATTAGTTATGCATAATTAATGAATGCTAAATATCATAAAAAATTACATACGTTATGATTGCATAATACGTATTGGTTTTAACATTTGTCATCACAAAGTAACATAAATGTTTTATGTAAAACTAAAATTTGCAGATTTCACATGGCGCTACCGACAATTACAGATGTGCAATAATTTTGCAGCCACACCTTACTGACAAGTACTGCGGTTAATTCAGGTTTTGTAAGTATATATTAATATGCATAGTTTCTTAAACGGTTCATCAAACTGACCATTGAAGTAAAATATAATCTGGAAGTGCTGCTTCTAAGAAAAAAAAAATCACGAAGAGTTAATTGAATTAATTGAATGGGGATTCATTTTTGATGCTTTGTTTCCAAGACGATATCATTGAATTAAAAAAAAAATATTATGATGAATTATGGTTTTTTTTAACGGTGATTCATTAACGTATAAACTTGGTTATCGCCAAACAAGTGTATCGATTGCGTTTATTTAGCGACTATGAACTATATAGTTATTTCTGCTTTGTTATCAGCATATAAATTTTTACGTCTATGCGTAAATAAAAACTTATCTTGTCTTATAAGAGTACGTTATATACATGTTAAGTTATTGTATATGCTACCTTGAGTCTTCTGGCGAACAACAAGCTATTAATAACTGAGTTCACTGACAAGCGAAATTTATGCGAGATTTCCAGCTGCGCTGCATTCTAGTACTGCTAATCTTCGCGTACTTCTAGGTCAAGCACAGGGTGTGTGTGTGTGTGTGTGTGTGTGAGATTATGGCAAAGCCTCGAGGGCTATCTGCCTAAAAGGAGGAATGCCTTCGTGGAGGGCTTTCTAAGGGAAACTGGCTCGTATACACGTTACACATGGGGAAAACCACGAAAAAACGCCCATGCAGCCAGCCCCCGTTCGCGGGATTCGAACCTCGGACCGAACTACCAGTTGTTCAGCGACTTTACCGCTCGGCCGCTGGTGGGCCCTGTCAAGCACAGGGAAAAACCATGAAAACGCCCATGCAGCCAACCCATTCACCGGAATACAAACTCCGGAACCAACTATACCACTGTTCAGTCACTTTACCACTCGGACGCTGGTGGACCCAAATTAACAAGCTAATCATAGCTGAAAATTTAATGTCGGTCTCCAAAAATTATTCAGACAGTTTCTTCGGTTGATGAACTGAATTTTCTTGAAGTTTTTTACATTCACAAAGATTTACCTTATTTAGTTAATGACTTCAAGCGCAATCCAGTTCTTCTTAATGCTTCTAAAAATTCTATTGACTTAATTTTTTAATTTTCTTTACTATTTCTGCAGAAAAATGGCGCTACCCTCTCGTTCGCTTTACAGCTATAGGATCTAAATACGACCATTGCTTTCCAGTCTTGCAGTTTTCTTTACTCCTGAAGAAGCACTTGTATCTGTTTGGCCTCGAAATCGACTGAGTTCTTGGCTAAATCTATGGCAAACACAAGCGTTGCTTCATTGTTAATTTTGAAAAATAAAAATGGCAATTGCCTTTTGTTAGCGAAAAGAAAAATTTATTTCTTTAATGTCTAATCTTCGCTGAAATGAAATACAATAAAAGTAAAACAGAGTCCCTTATCTGAGTCAAAATTAAGTTTCCTCACTCAAAAAAAAAATAAAAATAATAATAATAGGTTAGGTTATTTAATTACGGGAAAGCCTCGAGGGCTATCTGCTTAAAGGGATGGGTACTTTCGTGGAGAACTTTCTAAGGTGAACTAACTCGTATACACGTAACACATGGTGAAAACCACAAAAGCACCCATGCAGCCGGCCCGTTCGCCGGATTCGAACCTCGGACCGAACTACCAGTGTTCAGCGACTTTACCGCTCGGCCGCTGGTGGGCCCAAATAATAATAATAATAAATCAAATTAAAAAGGTGAATATGCTCTTTATTTATTTATTTGTTTTATATTTTTCTTACATACGTTTCTCTAACTATACAATTCTCTGAAAAAGACGCAAATTTTATTTTCTCAAGTATTTATTCTGCATATGTACTTTAAGTAATTCTTGGAAGGAAAATTTTTAAAAACACAGTTGTAGCTATGAAAGTTCTATTAAAGTTCATTTTTATGTGGTCTGTACCCAATTAACGCAGGAACACGGAGAAAAGATGGAAGACATTTTGGAAATACATGTCTGGAACTTTTAAGTAATTCTGTTATGTTAATGTGTTGCAGTTCATACAAGAAAATAAGACAACCTGGTTATTATGATACTTCCAGCATCTGTACAAGCATGTAAATATTTAGAGCTATATTATGTAACATATTTTGGTACATACGTATTATCGCAACTACCTTAGTAAAAGTCGCCAAATTCTACCAACCATGCGCATAACAGTTCTTTAGGTAACCTTATCCATTGCAAATTGCAATCCGAAATTCACCGAATTACCTGTTTTTCAGTAAAAAATCGCCAAACTGCGCCAAGGTGGTTGCGCTAATACGTCAGTACCCGTAGTTTAAACTACTTACTCCAGCAGCTATATAAGATGAATAATATCCATGGTGAGACAAGGCGTAATGATAATCTCTCCTGTTAGTGGCTGCCAGTTGAACTACAGAGACGATGAAGTAGAGTACAACGCCAACAGCTGTAGTTGTTAATTCCTGAAAGCAAAACGAGAACACCTTTAATATGTGGGCTGACAAAAGTAGAAATAACTAATTTCATAAAGAATATCGCTGCTTTACTATATGAAAATACTGAACTTCAAACAATTATTGTCGGAAGCCATTCAAAACCATTCCTCTATCAGTTAGGTACATAATACATGATGTATTAATGGTTGCAGGTGCACTCTACACAAAAAAAGGAGGGAAGTTCTATATTTCCCATTCCACTAGGCCGACTGACGAAGTTTAACTTGCGTTTTTCATGGTACGAAACTGCGATTTAGGATACATATTAGATTTATACATAGCATTGCTGTTCTTCGAACGTAGGTATTTTGACACCAAATCAGACTTTTTCTAAGATGGCATACCTATTTTATTCATATTTTGATTCTACGATTCAAATTATGCCAAAGTGTCAAGTTTCATAAAACTCGCACGAGTATTTTTAAAAATTAAACTCAAAAAATTTCAGCTCCTCAGTGTTAATTCAATTTAGTATATATTTAGTAATATCTCTTTACCTGATTCCTTCTTTAACAATTCAAAATTTAGGTTCAATCCACCCCCCCCCCCCGAAAAAAAATCCGCAGATATTTTCTGGTTTATTTTTTTTTTATTTGTATTTTTTAATAATTTTTAATATATTTTTCGAAAAACGTTTTGAATTATACGGTATAAAATTGTTGCCATCACCTGAAAATAGATGCATTTCTAAGCATATCTTCAAAAAATTAGAATTATTCATTGCAAATTTCCCAAGATATACATGCATTTATATATTGGCGCATTTTGAAATTTGGCATATTTGTCATAAGCAATAATAACGCGAAATAAGGTTTACACAATCTGTTAACATTATTTGAAAGTATGAACCATGCATCTTTTTATCCCGCCTGTGTACAATGAAAGGAGAAGAATAATAGGTTACCATAAATTAAGAATTTCGTTTGCAATACCCACTTTTTTCCTGTGCAAACTGATCAGCGCACTGAAAAATCAGAAATGGCGTTGGAACGATTCACGTATGACAAAAATTGCCGGCGCAAAACATTTGCAAAGAAGAGCATTGTAAAGGATCAATGACAACACAAGAGAGGAGAGAGAAAAAGTATTGTTAAAATTACAAATTTTCAAAGTGCCCACCTTCCAAAACGACAAACAAATTGCATGCGGGAGATTGCTGACAACAATGACCAATGTAACATTATTAGTACTGGAACATGTATAAAGTACATGTAATGTATAACTTTACGTTTTATGCCATCTTTCAATTCTGACAAATCTCATGGATCTGATGTGTACACCTCAAATTTCAGATAAAGCCAGAACCAAAAAACCATCTCAGTGAGGTGGAGTAATCGCAATGACCATGAAACTGCCAAGTTGCGAGAGATGCCTCCTATTTCCTAAAATACTGTTGCAGCACTTCTCGAACACATGTAGCGACGTGTGGAGGAGTGCCATCTTGCATCCATATAAAGTACCATTATTAACGACATTTCGCTGCTGCAGTCCAGGAAATACATAATTCTACAAAATTATTTTATACTGAGCAGTTGTGATGAAGCACGAGTTCATGCTTGTGGAAGTGACCTCTTCTAAGAAGTACACTGCGCAAAAAAAAAAAAAAAAAAAAAAAAAAAAAAAAAAAAATAATAATAATAATAATAATAATAATAATAATAAAGGAGGACCGTTCTATATCTTCCGTTCTACTGGGCCGATTAACGAAATTCAAATTGCGTTTTTCATGTCTCGAGAGCGCGACTTGTGATATATATTAGATTTATATATAGCATTGTTCTAACATAGGTATTTTGACACAAACTCAGACTTTTTCTGAAATAACATACTAATTTTTTTCATATTCCGATTCTATGGCTCAAATTATGCCTAAATATTAAACTTTGTAAAATTTGATGCGAAATTTACAGAGAAATTCAAAAATGTAACCTGCCGAATTTTTTCAGTTTGCGCCAAGAATAATTAACTTGGCGAACTTCTTAATATATGGCAACCTATTTTTCTTTCCCTTCCATTGTGCAGGAACGGAAAAAAAAGGAACGAATTCCAAATAATTTGCCTAAACTGCATTTATTGTTATTATCGCTTTTAACAAATATGCCAAACTTCAAAACTCGCCAGTATATAAATTCACGTATATCTTCGGAAATTTTGAATAAGAAACTGTAATGTTTTGCAGGTATACTTAGAAATACATCTACTTTAAGATGGTGGCAAAAGTTTTATAGATTATAATACAAAATGTTTTTCGAAAAATTTATAAAAATTATTTAAAAATACAAATTTTAAAAAATCATGAAAAATTGACGAATTTTATTTGGAATGAACCTAAATTTCGAAATGTGAGAGGAAGAATCAAATATGTTTAATAAAAAAAGAGATATTAATAAGTATATGTCAAACTCCATAAACATTGAGGAGCTAAAATTTTGAGAAGTAATTTTTTAAAAACTACTCGTGCGATTTTTACAAAACTTGGCAGTTTGGCGTAAATTGAGTCGCAGAATCGAAATACGAAACACAATAGCCATCTTATTTCAGAAAAAGACCGATTTTGTATAAAAATACCTATATTAGAACAATGGTATATATAAATTAATACATATCCTAAGCCGCGCTTTCGAGACATGAAAAACGCAAGTTGAATTTCGTCAATCTGCCCAGTAGAACGAAAAATATAGAACTGTCTTTGTTTTTTGGGGAGGCACACTTTATGTGCTTTTATGAAGCCTCAACGAACAGTCATTTTAAGTTCGTGTAAAGTCGCTGGTGCCGCATCGTGAGGATTTTCATGTTCCCAGTGAACGCAGTTCTTGGAGTTTACGTTCTCAGTTAAGAAGAAATGCACCTCATTGTCCATAATACCCGTAACGGCTACCTGCTATCTTCATCATATCTGATGAGAAAAAAAATTCGACATGCTATTGCTCGTCCCAGGTTGTAAACGCAGAACAAAGCGCAGAAGCTTGAGAACTATGGTTTTCTGTATATCCAAACTGCGAGCAAGACTTTTTACAGTATACAATGGGCTTGCTGTAATTTTATGAACTTCCGCAACAATTTCAACAGAAATACATGGTCGTTCATATAGCGATCTATTACACGTCATCAAGTTTCTTCAATTTTTTTTACTAAATAATGTACAGTTTTTTCGGAAAATGAGCCTTGTCTTAACTTCGGATTTTGCCAATACACTCGCAGTACTCGTCTCTTCTCTGTGCTGTTATTGCTCCTTTACAATGCTTCTTCTTTGCAAACTTTTTACGCCTGAAATGTTTGTCATATGGGTATCATTCCAATGCATTTATTTTTTTCAGTGCGCTGATCAATTTGCACAGGAAAAAATGGATGTTGCCATTCGAAAACTTCGAAATGGCAAGAACTTCAATACTAAGAACATTTAGTGAATTTGAGTTTCAGAAAGCAGCGCCTCCGGCAAAAACTTCAATGTTTTCGTTGGAACCGGAACCGTGAGAGATCTATTCGTTTGAATCATCACAATCTCTATCCCATACCTTCAAATAAATATATTTGAAATTTCATTTCGATTGGTTCGATTGGTTGAGTGTACTTGAACTAAATTTCATTCTGATTGGCAGGCCACTAGAGGTTCATATATTGGAAATGCTTTTTCATAACCAACCTGTATGTTCAATTGTATCTGTATTAAAAGATCGTTGATATATAGTTTTCATTACATTTGGGATAGACCTAGTATTATCAGTTTTAAAGAAAAGAATCAAATAAATATTCTGAAAGCAGTAAATCATATACTTGCTTCAAGCTTAGAACTGTAAAATAAAGATTGCAAATTATCCCCCAGGAAGTAAAGAGGGATCTCTTTAAGTTAGTTATCCGATTATTACTAGGGCCTGAATAAATCTTTTTGCTGCCCGGTTCAATTTCTGTGAGTCCTAAATTCATCACCCACTGCCTTTCTAATATTTTAAAACTTTTGCTACTCCTAAATTCTTCCGCCCGCTGCGGCCGCCTTGGTTGCATGGATTCTAGCCCCGGCAACTACTCACAATATTTCATTGCACAACTTTGGGCTAAACCAATTTTTTCTTTCTTTCTTTAAATTATCGCAGAATAGCAATGGGTTTTTAACAAATAAATCAATGCATACTGGTAGTAAAAGGGAGAGGTGAGAGAAAGAAATAAAATACTTACTATGAGTAACCAGGGTAATTTGGGAAAGAGTCTCCTAATTGTGAAGAAATATATGATACAGAAAACGAGTGTGATGATGAAATAGATGGCAACAACAAACATGAAGAAGTTGGTATATGTTGTGACGACGGGAGAGCCACAGCCCATACAGATGATGGCAAACAGCTGAAATGAGATATCAAATCGTTAAACTTCTGCAGAGATGGTACATTCAGCATAGGTTTTAGATTTAAATAAATTAATACTAATTACTGAAAGTAAGTAATTAACCGAAACTAATAATGGATATTGAGAAAGAAATGAAATCATTAATCGCGATCAGGAAGGAACAAAGGAGAATTCATTCTGGCTACAGAAGGCTCTTGATAGTGACAGTTAAAAAAATATGCTGTATCTTTCCTCTTTATTTTGTTAAAATGGTTGTAATGTTTTGAGAGTTTCCTATTTACACAATAATATTTTACGTATCAAAAAAGGTCGGAGGTTTTAAATGAATCTCTTTTCGACCTGATTTTAAATTTATTCAATAGTAAATAATAAGTTTCATGTTTTGGCCACAGTATATACTATTTTTCTCTAAGAGCTGTAGCAAAATATACTTTAAAGTTTTATATTTTTTATTTAAAAGAATTATTTATCTCTTTTTTGAGATTCTTGAGAGTAATCTAAGATTTTCAGTTAGTAATGTACCATCATCCTAAATATGAATCGAAAAGCTGCGAGGAAGAGTTTTTCCATGTGAAAGTAGATGCTGGGTAATTTATATATTTCCGTGACACTATTCAATGAAAACACAATAGTCAGCAACGAATTACGTGACTTTTGTGCGCAAATAGATCCTCTTTCCCTCGAAAGTTTCAGCTTATACGGCACAAAGACTTTATCCACAATAAACACCATCACTTCTTAGCAGCTAAATAAAATACGCACGATAGCTAACAGAAAACAACGGGAACTGTTTCAGTTTCTTTCCACTGTATACAAAATGATCTTGTAGGATATATAATCTTTCACATTTCAGCTTGGCACGTATTTAATATGTTGAAGGGTAAAATGAACGCAAGGTTAAAAGCATTCAAACGATTCTGGCCAAAGGAATGTAATATATGGAACGTAGAAACATTTTTTATTAATTATTATAATGCCGTAAGTGTTCATGAACATTATTTAACGAATTTATAACAAGATCAATGTAGTTCCAATTATATCAATTTTACCTTTTATTAAAAATTTAAGATTTAAATTATTATTAATTACGATTGCCGTTTTTATATTGCTCTGTATTTTAAGAAATACAGAACTGGTTAAATTTGTCGTTTTTAAGGAATAAAATTATAATTTGAAATGTAAAATAAATACTTACCCTTCGTTCAATGATAACATTTTCGAAATCACTTCGATGATAAATATACGGTAACATAACTTAATACAACGGTTCAAAAGCTTGTAAACACTGTATCAAAAGAAATTTTCTAATATCAAGAGACCTCAAGTAAATTATGAACAACTCAGGAACTAATTCTTCAACCGTAGGCTTATCGTAACTTCCTATGCTTTTATGCATTTCAAATATTAAACACGGAAATATATACACCAAATTTAGATTGCAGTTCCATTTTAATTTAGCAAATTTTATACTTTTAAATTTCTTTGACAGTTTGAAGCTTTAATGATAAAGATATATGATTACAATATTGTTGGGTGCGTAAGGGTTCGTAATAGATTGAATGCACACAGGTCCGATTATAGATTAATAAAATTTATTTTTATCAAAAGAAATATTTCAGAGCTTTTCACAGAGAATGTACAAGGGTTTACAGTATCACACAGTACAATCAGTAGTTACACTTCAAACTACTAACAATGTTAAAGGTAACGCAATGCAAAGCGTATCTAAAGAGAAAGATAGTACGATCTCACGCTGAACTAACAACTCGCGATAATAACAATAACTAAACCTCCGGCCTTATATAGTTTTCACCCGACCGCCGAAATATTTCTAGTACTTTCTGCTTCTCGAAATGAATGGAAAGCAATATGAGTATCGAATTATGGTTGGCTACTTTTGGCGATTTCCCGCCAAATTTGGAGATGAAATAAGTCTCCAAAACCTTTGTCAGCTTGGCGATACTTCGTCATATTACCGAGATGCCCATTTGCCCAATGCTAAACGGACTTGTCCCTGTATTCTTTGTTTTCTGGCATATCACGTCTCTTAAGATTTTTCATGTTACATTTAGCAGCAAAATACAACAATTTCCCAAATGATTCCACTAAAATCATCTATCTCTGTACAAAACTTGTAACAAATTAAAATATTATGTATTACACTGTAATTATGACTATATTACAGTCATATGATTATTATAGTCATGTGATTATTATAATATATTACAGTCATATGATAGATTATATATATGACTATATTATAGTCATACATATAATCTAAAATATTATATATTAAACTATAATTACATATGAGTGTAATCTAAAATGTTGTATACTAGACTATGGTAGATATATTACACTGTAACCTAAAATTATTGTTTTTTTCTGGGATACGTGTTTGCAGAGTAACCACTATAAAATATCTTTCATTTTTGAAAACTTTTAAGCCAATTTCAATCTTTGGCTAAATTGTAAAATATTATATACCAGACTAGATACTATTGATAGATATATTATTATTGATATTTAATTATAATTGATATTTTAGCCAATTTCCATCTTTGGCTAGATTGAAAACTATTCTTTTACGGGAAGTTCCTTTCAAATCTCTAACGTAATTTGTCGACTCTTAGAAGATTTTGAAAAAATAGATGAACTCTTTTTATGATCCTGTGGCTCTAACAGTAACTGAATTTCAGTTGCAAATGATTCAGTTCGTCAGTATTAGTGGATCCGCGATTTTAAATGATCGTGAAGTCGTATTTTTATAATAAACATAAATCTAAACAAATTGAATGTAATCTTACGCTGTCGAGCAGATCGGAGCGTCTCGAAAGAAATGTGACATTGCGTATTTTGTTGCTCCACTGAGCAGAAGAAAAAATTTTCTGCACTGAGAGATAATGATTTTCATTCACTTTTAATTTTTGTCTCTTCTGTGGATTAAAAAGCATAAAATATATATATATATATATTTATATGAAACACCTTCGTATTTACGTATTTTTATCAATTATTGTTCGTTGAACGGGAGTTGGTTTGTTCCCCTTGAAAAGTCAACTAATTTCCGATCAATAACAATGATTACATGTTTTTAATTTTTCCTTTTACAATTGAAATTTTATTCTTCATGATGATTTAACTCCAGTCCCCGTTAAAACATTATTAACATTTTGCTTTCAAATTACTTCAAAACATCTTTCAAAATATAACTTAGCAGTATGGATTCACTCTTTTAAAATAATTCTACTTTAATTAAATTTAGGAGATAATATAATCAATTAATATTGTTTAGAAAATAAATTATATATATATATAACATTATAAATTATACGACTTACCTTACATGAATTAAAACATAATTTTTAAGGGTCATAATATTATCAGTCATATGCCTAAAAATAAAATTTCGTGACACTCATTCACGAGTTTTATTTTATGAATCTTTTATTAACAAAATTTTAAAAATAGTAATTGAGCTATCACAGAAATACGCTATCTAAGAACAATTACATTCTGTTCGCTTAAACTTCTGTTCAAATTTTTTATTTAAAACCCGCTACTTTTAAAAGTCCCACTATTTTATTTTTAGTTTGCATAAAAAAAGAATGCTGCGAGAGTTGAAAGATAGTTTTTAATTCTTTCCGCGCAATTTACCGAAACAGTGTAACCAGAAAACATTTATGTCTATATGTATTTTATTCTATTATTCTGGTACAACAGTTATTTTTGAGATAATTGGAAGGGACTCTTCTATATGTAGATGAAATTAAAGCGGGTTAATGGTCCCACGAAAGAAATTAGTTTTGTGATGCGACCTTATAAATCTAGATTCAAACCACTCTTTACAATCTCATATTTTTCCTCCTACCCTCCCTCTCTCTGTGTTGATTCTTTTTACGGCCTTTTGTCTATTCTACTGCCATTTGACCATCAGAGACCATTCAAAATACTCCTCAACTAATATGACCTGCATTATGCAAAGTTCGAATGGCCTTTAGGTCAAAGGTCTTGAACAATGTATGGGAAATGAAGGGAAAATTCAGATGCAGCGATCTGAATTACTTTAAGCATTTACTACTATTTGAAAAGGGCACTGACGTATTAAGACACGCTAATACGTTAATAAAGCTTTAATAATAGTGTTTAAGGAGAAATAAAAGCCAGTATGGATTTAAATAGCTATTTAATCAATGTAATATTAGGCTTCTGAGAAGGAGGTTTCTTGGCCTAAGACATATTTTAAACATACATGTGAAAAAATTTAGATTCTATTTTTTTTATTCATTTTGTAATCTTAATTTTTAAGGATTATACATTTAAATTAAATACATGTTAGTTTTTAAGTTAGAGTTAAATGCACCAAAAATTAATTTTAAAAAATGAAAAGAAAAGGAATTCTTCAGTTATAATAATATTCCTTGTCATATATGATTACAAATGAATGCGTGAGGTTGCGAACAGTGACATATATCGAATCAAATTTTCCAAAGTGAAATTTAAATAAGTTGTATATAATTTTTATCATGTATGAGAAAAATATATTTTAAGTATATATCTTATCTATATGTCTTTTTGATCATCATAATTAAATATGTAATTATGGAAAATCATTTAAGAATTATATTCGAACACATGAGACATATATTTATTATATTCGAATACGTTTAATACACTTTCATTTTTCTTTATATTCGAATACATTTATTATGTTCGAATATATTCAATACACTTTTATTAAATACCTAAATTCGTAAATGATTTCGCATGATTCCATATTTACTCACGATGACAGGGCCCACCAGCGGCCGAGCGGTAAAGTCGCTGAACACTGGTAGTTCGGTCCGAGGTCGAATCCCGCGAACGGGCTGGCTGCATGGGCGTTTTCGTGGTTTTCCTCATGTGTAACGTGTATACGAGCCAGTTTCCCTTAGAAAGTCCTCCACGATAGGCATCCCTCCCCTTAGGCAGATAGCCCTCGTGTGCTTTGCCATAAT